TTTGTCCCCCCCCCCCCCCCTTTTTTTTTTTTTTTTTTTTTTTAAGACAGGGTCTCACTATGTAGTTGAGACTGACCTGGAACTCACTATGTAGCCCAGGCTGGTCTGGAACTCACAATGATCCTCCTGCCTCAGCCTCCCAAGTGCTGGGATTACAGGTGTGAGCCACCACACCTGGCCTGCCTTTACTCTTGATTATAAATTGATGTGGCTTTCCTAGGTCCTCTTATCTCCCATCTTAATTTCCACTTGAGTTTTATGGTGTAGTGATGACAGCTATTAGAAACATAAGAATAAGTCCCTAGGTTCTGGAATGCAAGCTTTATCAGTTGTGGTTGGAATAGAAATTTTCTTCTAAAAAAGGGAATCATTTCTGATAGGTAAACATTATTTGTAGAATTATAGGTAATACAACTAGGGAGTGAATATTTTTATTGTTTTGCTCTTGTTTTTAATTAATGCTTTTTGAGAACTAGCATTCAGTAATTCACTACCCTCTGTCTGTGTGCTACATTTAGTTATTTAGGATGCTTTACTTTTTATTTAACTTGATATTATTTAGATGTTGTCCATTGAAACAGAACCTGTGAGTCCAAGGTTTTTGTGTTATGTATGTTTTGTGTGACAACCTTACCTCTAGTTGTCATTCTGTTGCTTTAACCAATTGCTTTTGAAAAAAACAGTTTCTATTCTGATGGCAGTGGTGAAGTACAGAAAACCATTTTTGATATCACTGTACAAATTTCCTTGTTTTCTGCCAGATGTAGTGGTTAACGTTTGTAATCTCAGCTATTCAGGAAACTGAGGCAGGAAGAGCACAAGTTCAAAGCCATCCCAGGCAACTTAGTTTTTTAGACCCTACCACAAAAAACAAAAATAAAAACAAAATAGGACTGGGAATGTAGACCAGTCCCAGTGGTAGAGTGCTTGTCTAGCATGAGTAAGCCCCAGTTTCAGAAAAAGGAATGAAAGAAAGTAGAAAAGAAGGAAAAAAAGATTATCTTCTAACTTATGACTATATATTAGTTAAAAATCTCAATATTCACTTAGTATTTTCAGATCTGGTACTTGCTGCAAATAGAGGGAAGATCCAATATGAAAATTTATGGTATGCCATAGGCCGAAAAACAAGTACCCATTAGTATTTTTTCTAATTAATGTGTCCTTTAGGCCTGGATTGCAAGCTGTTAATACCCTCCCTTAATATTCTTGTGGTAAAAGTTTGGTAAATACTATTTTTTTTGTGTGTGCTATCTTTCTTTTTTTCCCTGCTTTTATTTTTTTCAAGTTCATATTAAACGTCTATCTTCTTTTCCCTCTTAAATACAAAAAATAAAACAAAAATTTCAAAACCTTAAAATCAGTACAAGTACTTTTCATATAATGGAAGCTACTTTTGTGGCCTTTGAGAAAAAATAATTGGCAGGTAGACAAAGCTGTTACTTGTGCTCATACATAAAATACATCTGCTGCTTGTAGGAACATTAATGTGATACATGTATGAAAATACTCCTGTATTACTGGGTGGAGTCATGGTGTATATAATATTTTATTTATAAGTTAGAAATCTTTTGCTACCATGAAGATTTTAACTAAGTGGTATACTCAAGCCAAAGATTAGAATATCTTAGTTTTTCAGGTACTTTTGGACTTACTCAAATTATTGCTAAAATCTTTAGTGGAAAAAAATCTTCACATTTCCAAATTGCCAATATAAAGAAAATATCTTCTTTCCTCAAAGAATCTAGATCAGCATTTATGAAGTTTTTTAGTGTGTATTTGAAATGGCTTCACATTTTTCCTTTTTCTTTTTAAACAGGAATCTTTTAGTCCTGCTATCCAGCTGCACCTTGTACATCAGGCACCGTGTAATATTCCTCCTTACCTCTCAAAGAATGAATCAAGTCTTGGGGACCTCTTACTGGGCTTTCTTAAATATTATGCTACAGAATTTGAGTAAGTAAAAACTTAGAGTTTTAGTTTTACTTGACTCATTGTGATCCCATTTTAGGTTTAGCTGCCTCATTTTCTGGTAGGGTGTATTATATGCTCTGTTTCTGTCCTGTGTAGTTTGGAACATCTCTTTTCCAGGAACTTAAAATATATAGTAAAAAATACAGCTACAATAAACTTGGAAAAGTTATATTTATGCTTGATGTCTGAATAAGGGGTTGTATTAGTATGATATGCAAATCAAGGGATTTATCTTTTCCTTTTTTGTTTTAAGAGCAATGTGCAAACATGAAACAAAGTATACAGTCAGGCTGAACAGAACTGAAAGTTTTTTGGTAATTCTAAATCCAGATAGAGTGGGACTAGGAATTGTTTTCAGGTCTTACCAGTCTGGAAAAGTTGGAAGGAAGAAGAAGAGAAAGGAGTTAGGAATTTACATACTTAGAGGAGGATACAGTGACCTTAGTTAGTGTACTATTTTGGAGGGATTTAAAGATGCAGTACTAATAAATTAATTAATTGTGGCAGAATACTTCTAAGCAGAATATGTGCATTATCTGTTTACTTGATGACTGTGAGGTGGTATTATATCATGCCCTCACACTTTATCAGTGAGGCATAGAGAAAGAGCAAGTTGAGAGAGATGAAATTTACTAAAAGGTGTCTTTGGTAGTATGGGTCATTTTTCAGGTAGTTTGCTGAACCCACGGCAACCTACGTAGTGAACTTACAGCACATGTACCTCAGTGGGCTTTTTGTTATCATTTAAAGCTCTAAAAAGGTTCATCATCACTGGCCTGTAGAATTCACCCCTAACTATGACACAGCAGTGTTGGTATTGTCTTTTCTGCAGTGATGCTAGTAGCTCTATAAACTACTCGAGATGATTTACAGCATAGGACATAAAAAAAGAAACATTATTCAGATTCTTCAGCATTGTTTATACCAGACTGCTTATGCCTGTTTTATTTGCATTTGTGCACCCAGTATCTTGCCCAGTGCCAGATAGTGGGTTCCTGTTAAGTACTTACTATAATTATGAAACAGAAGTTGAGGTTGTGGACTAGACTTAAAGATCCTTGAAGTAACTAAAAAATTACTAAATTAAGAGGAGGGAAGGTGCTAGAGGAAAGCAGCTCAGTAAGAATAAAGTTAAAATAATCCAGATTTTTAAAATTATCAGGATCTGAACGTAAGTCCCAAGTAGCAAGGACGAAAAAACAAGAGCCTTCATTTATGTGAAAAGGAGGAAAAATTGTAAAATTACATGGGACATAAGGAGATTGTGAAAAGTTTTATGGGTGTTCTAGAATTACTTTTTAAGATGTTGCAATACTAATACTTGATGTTTAGGATCTGTTTATCTAGTGTTCTGTATATTTAAATGATGGCTGTGTATTTTGTTTAATACTTAAAAAACCCTCTGCCAAGTTTAGGGAATTTGTGTGTGTGTAAAAACTTAACCACAGCAATGCAGCTCCATAGTGGGAGAACTGGGATTCAAGTGCAGGTCTGTCTCTAAAACTATAACATTGTTAGACTGTATTGACCTCATCTACTGGGTCATGTATGTTAGGCATGGGTTGGTATTCAAGGGAAAAGGATTCACAGAAGAAAGATGCATTTCTTCCCTATATATAGTTATGTGATACACATATTCTGAAAATCAGCTGTTTGTTGGGCTGAAACAAGATGGTGGTGTGTAAATTTGTGTGTTGGTTTAGTATTAATAGGAATTATCTTGCTGGACCAGATGATAGTAGCTAGGGTGCTGGTGCTTGGCAAGAGATTTTACAACTTCATCATACAGCACTTTTGCATTGTTCATTAAAGATATTCAGAAATTTGACTACAGTGAGCTCAGCCGGGAGTAGTCATAGTAATGAATTAGATGCTGTGAAAAGAATTCTTGCGGGGGCCTTGGGATTAGCTCAGTGGTACCACCACCTTCTTTGCAAGTGCGAGGTCCAGAGTTCGATCCGATTCCCAGTACGAAAAGAAAACAACAACAAAAAAAGAATCTGGCAGCTATTAAAATATTATAAGGATTTCTTCTTTTTTAATTTAAAAATTCCCTCTACTTAAAAGATAGAATTAAGTGCCTGGAAAAGGATGCTTAAGAATGTGGTATGTGGGCCAGGGATTTAGCTCAGTGGTGCCGCTGCCTCTCTCCAAAGTGCAAGGACCTGAGTTCTATCCCTGATACCCCGCCCCCCCAAAAATAATAATGTGATGTAAATGTTACAGATTTTTATATGGCTATTTAAAAAGCATTAGTTTCTAACTAGGTACTGTGGCACTTGTCTGTAGTCCCAACTAATCTAGAGGCTGAGGCAAGAGGATCATTTAAACATAGGCATTCAGGGCCAGCTTCTAATATAACCAGACTACATCTCTTTTAAAAAAAAAAAAAGTAAAATAAAAATAAATAATTAGCACTTACATCTTGCCGTTCAAAATGCTTAAAAGTGAAGCTTGAAGGCAGGCTTCTGGAATTGAAGTGGAAACAACTGACAGGATGTTAAGTGACTATGAAGTTCAGAAGACTGGCAAGTAAATAATAGTTAAGAATGGATTAGGAGCCAGGTATGGTGGCACACGCCTGTAATTCCAGCACTTGGGAGGCTGAAGCAGGAGGATTGCTGTGAGTTCCAGACCAGCCTGGGCTACGTAGTGAGTTCTAGGTCAGTCTCAGCTACATAGTGAGACCCTGTCTCAATACCCCCCCTAAATGGATTAGTGTGGTAAAGGGCTTAAATTATGGCTTGTGTGTCTTAAAAAATGAATTAAGGAAAATAGTTCTACATTTAAATTCTGCATTTAAATTCATTGACTAAATGACAGTGATTCAAAATCCTTTTGGCTATTGTGACCTTTCTGGATAGCCCGCCCTGCACTGTAGGGTTTATTTTTTTTCCTGCTTTTACTTAGTCCAAACTGTCTGCAGAGCCTATTTTTCCTTCTCTTTAATAAATGTGAAACTTTGCTGCCATTAAGTACTTCAGATGATGTAGGCATTTAAATAACTTATCTATGTTGGTTGAGGCGTAAACAGTACCTGGTTAGGGACAATTAATAAAATACATATATGTATTACACACTGTTGACCCAGTTTAGAACCTAGTAGTGGTATATAGAAGTTCTGGATTGAAGTTAATGCAAATATAGTAGTGAGAATTGATTTCCTTTCATTAAGCAGTCAAAACTTGTAATTTAAAGCAGGATATAGTGTGTGTGTGTGTGTGTGTGTGTGTGTGTGTGTGTGTGTGTGTCTATATATATATATATTTTTTTTTTCTTTTGTACTGGGAATTGACTCAGGGCCTTGTATTTGCCAGGTAGGTGCTGTGCTGCTGAGCTACATCCCTGGCCCAGGATATAATATTTTATTTTATTTTTTATTTTTTATTTTTTTGCAGTGCTAGACATTGAACTTAGGGTCTAGCACATGCTGTGAAAGTGCTCTGTAGCTGAACTTTAAGAAAATTCTGGAAACTTTGTGATGAGTGCAGACTCCTTTTCTGTTTGGGTTTCTTTTCTTTTTCTCCTTTTCTGTTTGGACCCCTGCCCACCCCGCAACCTGTCCCATCTTTCCTCCTCTTCTCTGGGTGTTGAACTCAGTCTCTGCACTGAACTACATTACATCTCTAGTTCTTTTATTTTGAGATAGGGTCTTGCTGAGTTGCTAAATTGTCCAGGCTGGGCTCAACTTGGCATCTTCCTGCCTCAGCCTTTCAGAGTTGTAGGGATTACAGGCATGCCCAGGCATTTTGGAGCTCATACTAATGGAACTCTAGTACATGCTTTATACACTACTCTTGATGAAAACAAAATAGAAAATGATACTTGCAGAATGCTTCACAATGACCAATATTCATAATAGACACGATTTTTCTTCTATATTTAATATAGAAATTAACCAGAAACAAATACCTTACTGGACCCAAGATTATATTCTTAAAAGATTTTCTGATACATTGAGGAAGAGTAGGTTGAGTGGAATTGGGAGGTCCCAAGTCATAGTCTGTTTGCCAAAATGGTAGAGAAAGCTAATGCTGCCAAAGAAAGAAAAGATTTCAGCCATTTCTCACATTAATTTTTCTCTTGTATATAAGCCAAGTAGTCATATGTTTTATGTTGTTTCTTGAAAACAAAAAATACTTAACTGCTTGGAAGGAAAACAGTTTTAAAAAATCTTTGAAAAAGCAAAATATAAAGTTGTGCATACCGCATATCAGATGATTAACCTTCAGGCATGTTGATAAAACAGTTTCACTTGAATAAAATTTTGCTATTAACAGCTGCATCTGCTATGTAACTGTAATAGTAAGTTTTTGTAGAGTATTATGTTCTTAAAACAGTATCCATTTGCTTACATTATAAAATTATAAAATTTTGTCCTATGTCATACAAATAAAGAAGATATACCTGAACAAAAATTATTTAATGTGCCAGAAAACAACATAAGAAGAATACCTCTGTCTGTTTTAACAAATGAAAAATTCTTACTGGGGTGTTAGCAGGTTTTATATATTTTTGCTTACTTGCACTTTTAAAATTTTTCTCTACTGCTTCATTTATTTAGTAAATGTGTATTGAGTACCTGATATGTATTAAATAACTGTGAATAGTGAAAAAAATAGATGAGTATCTTAGAATCTTGGAGCTTTCATTCTACTTGGGGAAGCACACAATAAATAACAGTGTAATAGCAGAGTAAATAAGAAGATAAGTGCTCTGTGGAGGAGAAAAAAAATAGGAGGCAAATGGACATTGTGTTGAGGCTTGAGGCATGTTTTGGTATTTGTTAAGATAGTAATGTAGGCCTTATCTACTGATACATTAAAAGGGAAATTTATGAAAACAGTTGACATTAATGTTTTTCTTCTTATAGCTGGAGCAGTCAAATGGTTTCAGTCCGTGAAGCCAAAGCCATTCCAAGACCTGATGGTATTGAGTGGAGAAATAAATACATCTGTGTAGAAGGTAGTTCCCCATGACTACTCTTCACCATTCATTTAGTATCGTGATACTGAAAGGATTATGACTGATTACAGTTTGTATTTCAGTGAAAAAATGATATATTTATGTTCTAAAGTGATTTACAAGTCTTTTAGCTTTAAATTTTTAATTTAAAACATGATTTAAAATTCTGAGAAATAATAAATTTCTAGTTGTTAGGATTTGTGCCATTTTTATGCATTCTCATGATTCTTAATTTTATGCTTTATAGATGTAAGAAAATATCTTTATATGATGCTTATGTTGAAATACAATAATTTATTATTTTACACGAAAATATTGTTGGATGGCCAGGGATTTAGCCTAGTGGTTCCGCTGTGTGCCTTGCAAATGCAAGGTCCGGAGTTTGATCCCCGGTACCAAAAAAAAAAAAAAAAAATTATA